CCCGTAATCTCCCAAGCGATAACTTCTGACTGGGAAACTCGCTTTGGTCTGTTCCAAAACATCCTCAAGGCCGAGCAGCCTGTTTATTCTCTGAGGAGCAGCCTGCTCGCGATCCCTCGCTGCGCACAGGCTTGCTGTCTTTCCTGCTAATCGCTCTGTCCGTCGCCTTGCCCGGCCTCAGAGCAGCCCTCTTTGGAGGGCCCCCGAGGCACTACAGGTTGTTTTGCCGTCCTTTCCATGCCGCAATACTCCGTTTGGTGGCCACCGTCCCGCAGCCACACTCGTGACCCCTTATGGTGGAAGGGGCACATCTGGGTTCACGTTTGGACCCGGCGCTGGGCAGGCATTTCCCAGCTGCTTTGCTCCTCCGAGTATTTCAGCAAACAGCCCCCAGCCCTGCCGTCCGATCGGGCACAGCTCTCCCTGGTGGCTGCAACCAACGCCCTGGATGTTTCGGAAGGCGCCGGGTGTAAAACGGGGGTGTTTTCCATCTGGAAAAATTTTGAAAGGGGAAGTTGAGCCTTCATTTTTCATTAGGTTCCAACGCGTTATGGCAGATCCTATTTTCTTGTTAATTAGGCGCTGTTCATTTTCTTCACTTCATTACTTACTACCGCACCTAGAATTTATATTCATTTGGTTTAATCGTGTTCGCCTGGTTACATTCTAAACAGTTACTCATTCAGAAAGGAAATTATTACCTCGCTCTGCCAGGACTTCCACTTTGCCTTAATTTCCCTGGAGCCTCATTTACTTTCCCCTGCATTTTTTTCTCTATTTCTCCTTTCTGGGTCCCCTTGGGCTCACCCAGAAGCGTGTGTGGCAGCGGTACAAGCATCGGCTCACCCTTCGTGCTGCAGTTGCCACCAAATAACTCACCCTACAGTCACTGCTTCACTTTGCTTCTTTGGTGGAGTCTGGGGACAGGAGAGGGGGAGAGGGAGGCTGGGCTTGGGGAAAGAGGGCTGCCCGCTCCTTTTGCCCCCTCTCCGTTGCGTCAGCCCTGTCCCACCGCTCCCAAAGCCGGCGCGGGCTCCCAGCCTCGTTGCTGGGGAAGTTTTCCCTGACTCCCGTCAGGTTGCGACAGAAGGGTAATTGTAGCTACAAACTCCTCTGTGAAGGAAATCGTTGTGCTTTTTAAACAGACCATAAAAATCCCCAGCGATGCCGACGTTCGAGCAGTTAAACAGCGGTTAAAGACGCCAGCGCTACGAGACCCGGGCGTGTTGTTTCCAGAGAACGTGTCGGCAGCTGCCGCGTTCCCACCTTTCCTGCGCCGCGCTGGCGGGCGCTGAGGTCGTTACGAAGGCAGCGGCGGCACATTCAGCAGTAACGAGCCGGTCACTGGCAAAACCCAAACACTTTCTCTGCAAAACTGCTGAGTACAGGCACGTTGAGTACGCTAATATTAATTATGATTGAAAATGTCTCGGCTCGGGTACCTCTAACGTGACTCTGGTACCTTGCAGGTCCGGCTGGCTGGAATCATGGGGGAATGCCCAGCAGTGCCGCAGGCCAGAGGACGCTGCTTTGGGGAGAGCATTGTTCCCATCTGCCCGTTCCCGGCACCCGGCAAGTACGTGATGCCGCAGCTGCAGCACCTTGTCAAACAAGTGTTTAGATGTTTACTGAAAAAATCAGTGGGGACTCTTGGTGCCCGGGGTGGTCTGGGTGCAAGACACGCTGTCCCGCCCGGGGCAGCAGCCTGTTCCTGCGTCCAGCTTTCCCGACAGAGCATGCGGGGTTTACCCGGACACCGGGAGCAAGTCTGGATTTGGGCAATCTCATTTCTGGGGTGAGACCCTGAGCTGGGGCTGCTGCTGCCACACAGCTGAGGCTTTGAGTGCTGGTGCTGCGTATGCGGCATAAATCCCAGCCCACAGACGCCCTTAGAGCTGCTGCCGCTTTATTTGTTTTCTGAGAAAGGGGTGAGAGGCCGTGGTTACATCGGCATGGCTGTTTGAAACCACACTGCTGTTTTCCCCCGCGGTGCCCGCAGGCTACTCGCTGACGGAGGCACGCCTGCGTGCCACCAGGGACAGCACAGCTGTGCAATCCACGCGGATGTCGCCGGGCGGGTACGGGTGAGCTTCGCTGAACTTCACCTCAAAGCCAGCGCCCTCCACAGCCTCCTCCACCGCGTTCCTCTCCAGGTAGAGGCATGAGAAAACCTGCTTGTTGAAGGCGTAGTAGGTTTCCTGGAGGACAGTGACCATCACCAGGTGGCCCCCCGGCTTCACAAGGGCACTGATGTTCCTCAGGGCGCTGCGAAAGGCGGCCACGTCCCTGCAGGCGGCCTCCAAGCAGAGAGTGGAAATGACACAGTCGGCGGGAGGCAGGGACAGGGGCTCCACGGGGTTGGCTTTAGTCACGTCGCACTTCAGAACCCGCTTCACCTTCTTTCTCACTTTCTCCTCTTTCTCAGCCCACTTCTCCCTAGCAAGCAAATAAACAAACAAATAGATGAAGGCTCATTATGGGGTTATTTAGCACTCGCACCCGCAATTTCGCGTGTGCTGTGGCCAGTGGGAGGGTGGTCGGAAGGCAGCCTCACCTGTCCCCTTCCAGCTCACAGACATATTTCACCACTGGGCTCCAGTCAAAGGCTCCCGCTTCCTTCTTCAGCCACCTCTCCAGCTCCCGGCGGGTCTGGTCCGTGGAGTC